AAAAAAAACGTGGCAAAATGACCCCGGAAAGTGTCAAATGTGTAGGTTAAATGCACAACTTCTTTTATGCGAGTAGGAGGATCGACAAGATGAGGATGATTGGAACAGCTCGGCTTCAGTCTAGAGAGCCTTTTTTACCCCGTAGTACCTTATGTAGGTTTTCTCTTAGATTTCATTATCCTGAAGAAGCTATTCTAAGCAGCAACAAGTTGCTCACGAGCGACTTCCATCAGCTAGTCATCCTTATTATTTGTAGAGCTATAGAACTGGGACGTCACGGTTTTTTTCTTGATACGTTGCCTTAGCGATGTGTGCGACTTAGCGAAAGTATAAGTTTTGATGATTTTTTTATTGGAAACTGAACGTACACCAGTACAAAATATAATTTTAATAATAAGGAAAATAGTCGTACACAGGTACTACAACTCCAAAAGAATAATAAGAAAAATATTAGGGAGAAACACAAAATTATTAAACTATTAAACAAAACAAAATCAAAAATAGTAATATTGAAAGAACGAAGAAATGAGTAATCAAAATTGAAGACGATAATAGCTGCTAACGATTAATATTAATCGTTAACAATAATGACGAAAACCTATCGATCAACAAACCAAGTTATTGACCATTAGTAAAGCTGATTGAATGTTGGAATACGAAAACAATAACTGAAAACAGAACAGAGAGCATTCCAAGAGAGGACACTCTAGAGAAAACACTAAAAGAAAACACCAAAGAGAAGCTTTTCAGCTTCTTTTATACCTATTTATTTGTCGCCTAACCTGCCGTCTTTTTTTTGATGGGCCACCTGAGGGAGCGACGGTCACCCCTCCAAAGATGTCTTTTCAGAGAGTGATGTCGTTCTTGTAGCGCATATGCATTTTCGCGTGCTGTCGCGACAAGAGTAGGTAAAGAGTTAATAGCGAAAACAAGTAAAGCAATCAGAAGAGTTGTTACTTTGGCAGCAAATTTTAATAAAGTAGACAAATATGCTGGTAACTTTAGCTTGCAAAATAATCTTATTCAAAGACTGCCAAACCCTAAAACAGTCATTCCACAAAAAGAAGTTTAAAAAACTAGTGAGGTTTAGAAAGAAAAAGAAAAACTTATTGAGGAATTGAATCGAAATTTTATGACGTTTATCCTAGATTAATTTGAAGAAATATATACACAAACGAACTCTGTTTAAGCAAGAGCAAGAGCAAAATTTAGAATAGTTCACAGCCTAACATACTCACTTTTGGTGTTTAACTTGAGCAGTTGTCCATCAAGTTCAAAATTTTAAGACAAACTAATGGTACCCTTCAAACCTCAACAGATCATTCTTTTTTTAATTTCTATGATTTTGGCTGAATAAATGATGTACAGATAGAGCTAAAAGTCTATAAAAATTAGACGATGAAATATTAATGAACATATTAATTGGAGTAAAACCTGTCTGGAGATGTAAGTACTACTGATTAGACAGCGTTGCTGGCATAGTCGACAACATTTTAAGACATTTATATCGAGCGTCAAATATTCGGCAGTGACAAAGAAGTCTTGAATTGCATGAAGGGTAATGAGCGTGGCGTCATTATTACAGCGATTATTATACTTTACTATTTACAGTGCTTTCGTGGCATTTCATAAAACTACCAGATAAACCAATTAGTTGGAAAGTTCTTATTATCTGAAAGAGTTTACTTTTCCATTGAACTTGCGATGTTTTCTTTCTAGGCTCCTTTTCAATTTAACGGCTTATCGCTTCTGCTGGTCGTAATGAAACAGAGGGACAAACTCATTGTGATTACCGTTTAGTGGCTGCATTGCTTAAATGGCGGAACCGCACTGAAAGCATTCTTCTTTTCACTTTTGCTATCAATCAAGCATAAATTTTTTTTTGCCGTTTTTTATTTAAAGATTATTAATTTTTTAAGCTCTATGTTCAGTCAGAGAATAGTTCACTTTGAAAGATTTACCAAGTAATGGTAGAAGTCAGGGAAGAGTGAATGAAATTCTTACTCCACACGCTTTCACAAACAACGTCTTTTTCATTGTTGTCACTGTTATATCAGGTTTCAAATCCATAAACGCAAAAAAAGGCTTAGATTTTCATGCAACAAATGACAGTGTGTAGTGGAACTTATAACGCCCCTCACAGTACCGTATTTAAGAGTAGACTTCTAGTAATGGCTCTGCCAACCAAATTTACTTCAAGTACTGTAAACAGCTTATAACTTGCTGACAGTTATTGTGAAACAGAACCTTACCAAAGAATACTATCAGGAGATCCACTTGCCAGATCTTATTTTTAACTTATTGGCTTAAAGTTTGGATTGACTATAAGGTCTGGAAATAGAACTCTCTTCTAATTCCAGTGGAAACTTCTCTACAAGTAGTTTCACTTTTTGAGTATGACTGTTTACATAGAATCTCTTCTTACAATTTTAAGTGTCTCAGTGTGCTTTGAATACGTTTAGAAAATAATTCATTCAAGTCAACAGGGAGGAGAGACACTTCCGCAGCCAAATTTCTAATGGCTACAGTAACTTAATTTTATGTTAATTTAAGGCTTGACCAAACCTATCTCAATATAGTAAATCTTCTTTTATAGATATACTGAATCTATACTTTCTTTTGATAGTTCTGAAGAACTCTCTTCTGTAGAGTCTTATTCTATAGTAAAATTAAATTTTATTACCTCTTAGTTTAGAACAATGACTGAAAGATTGTGGAAGAAGAGACAGAATAGGTTAATCACTGATGAAATAAGCCAACAAATTGAGCAAGGCAAAATATAG